GTTATCTAGGGAAGTAGTGGAGTCTCCATCCCTAGAGGTGTTTAAGTCTCGGCTTGACAAAGCCCTGGCTGGGTTGATTTAGTTGGGATTGGTCCTGCCTAGAGCAGGGGGCTGGACTTGATGACCTTCTGAGGTCTCTTCCGGCTCTATGGTTCTATGATTCTATGAGCTGGGGGACCAGTCACAGGGAGGAGACTCAGGACTTTGTTGTTCTCTTTAAGTCCCAGTAAATGAGCCAGAACCAATCATCTGCTCAGGGAATTGTTTCCCTTCTCACCATTGGTTGTCTCTGAGCAATTCCTGAGTCTCTCTAATGTACTAGTGCTTCTGAACTACTGGCTGAACAATCCTTAGGAAGGTTTGTGCCCATTTTCTCCAACGATGGGGGGAATCCCTATTTCTTTTCACAGACAGAGCCAGTTCGGGGCCTAAGTGCCTTCAGTGGCCCCCTCCCTCTTCCTACTTGCTCTCCCCAAAAGCCAGCCCTGGCAGGGCAGAAAGCTGCAGGGCCCCAGCCCTCCTGGGCCAGGCATTGGCAGGTGCACTGGAGACAAGTTGCAGGTGGAGCAGAATTAGTTCCATTGGCAAAGTGCTCCCTTTGCACACGAGAGGTAGCGGAATTCACTCCCATCTTTTCCTGCCTCCTCTCTGGTGCTGAGGGGCCAGCCCCTTTCCTGCCGCCCCACGCTTTGTGCAGGGTCCATTGGGCTTTTCCCCAAAGTGCATGGCTGGGATTCAGGACCCTGGACCCTTCCCCAAATACACAAATCCTTCCTTCCTCCACACTCTGTTCCACTTACACTGCCTGGCTGCCTCCAGCATGGGCTGAGCTCAGAGGCTGGGTGGGTGACCTGCCCTGCAGCTGTGACAGGATCAGGCCCCTCCCATCAGTCTGCAGACCCAGTTCTAGTGGGCCTCAGACACCCAGCAGCAGAAACAAAATTGCCTTCAGGAAGCCTGAGGACAGAGCACATGAGCGGGGATTTAAATCCCCCCCTGCTTCATTTGCATAAACATGGCTGCCGCTTTTTCCTGGCACGGAGCTTTGCCGGAAAAAAGCGCCAGTCTAGACGGGGATCTTTCGGAAAATAAAGCCTTTTCTGAAAGATGCCTTATCCCTCTTAAAATGAGGGATAAGGGATCTTTCGGAAAAGGCTTTATTTTCCGAAAGATCCCCGTCTAGACTGGCGCTTTTTTCCGGCAAAGCTCCGTGCCAGGAAAAAGCGGCAGCCATGTTTATGCAAATGAAGCAGGGGGGGATTTAAATCCCCGCTTCATTTGCAATTGCGATGGGTCTAATTTGCATCCCTTTTACGAAAAAGGGATGCAGTCTAGACACAGCCAGGTAGTGCCATTGAAACAACCTTCATTTGCCTGCACCCAGACCATTCAGTGTCACTGGCTCAGGGGTTTCTCTCCACTGCAGAGAACTCCCTTGTTTGTTAAAGGTCCTCTGGGAACGCATAGGAGAGGGAGCTGGGATTCTAGATGCATTAACCCCAAGGACTGCCTATCCTGACTTCTGAGCCCTCCACACTTTAATTTCTGACAGATTCTGTTGTAGAGCATCCTTCCGCCCAAGGGGTGTGTGTGTGCCCAATACAACTGTACCTGTAAAAAAAAATGTTATTTTCTCCTCTAGGAGCAGCTCAACTGTGTAAAGGGGCTGCTGGGACAGGACATTATCCCTGCAGGGCAGGGGTGGGTGTGTCAGTGACATCACAAGGGCCTTTTGCAGCCCCTCAGCTTATTGGTTAAAGGAGGTTGGGAGGTGGTGACCTCACAGAGGGACCATGACAACAACCAGGTGGGACAGGTTGCAGGGCAGGGGCCATCTCAGAGACCTCCCATCGTTTTGCTGCAGGGCGTCTCCTTCCAGAGATCTGCCCCTGAGTCCTGAGAGAGGGTTCAGGAACAGGTACATGAGCATGAGGAAGAGCCTCTTAGGAGTGTTCCCCTTTCCCGGTGGGAAATTGAGCTAGGAGGCAGACGTCCCTGTGCAGAAGGCAAGAGCCTGAGAGGTTTGATACGGATACTGCCTGATCCAGCAGTTCCCAACCGCTGGACCAGGCGGCAGGAGTCTGGGTGCCCCTTGCTCACTAGGACCCTGGGGCAGCAACAGGGGCTGGGGGGAGGTCGCGGGCAGGGG